GAAGCTGTGCACATCTGGTGCAACTCAAGTGAATCAGCGAGGGTGTGGGGAAATTGTTAATAGCTTATAATCACTGATGGCATGTAGGTATTGAGTTAGGGAACTAACTGCTGACTTTCACGATGCAAAGGTTAGGGAGTGCTTAGTAAAACTGTAACAGCAGGTTTAAAACAAAATATATGCATAATTTTCGAACAGTGCAACGTTTGCAACTCCTTATTGCAGGATATTTGCCTCGAGTTCAAAGGAATTCTATATTTTAAAAAAGACAAATTTCTGGAAAGAAATCTATCAAGGATGATCATATGGTTTAATCTGGATACCTCTGGTTCCAAGATCCTGTTCATTATCTTGCTGGAAGATGAGAAGTAACCTAGGGAAGTATCGCTATTCAGTGTTCATACTTTCCCTAGCTGGACTTTCTCTCCAACCAGCCTGCTTGTTGTTCTGTCATCTGAGATTGGGCCACAGAAATACACAGAAATACTTTGTCACTATTTTCAGTGCAAATTGTGCTTTCAAGCAGCATCCTGAGCTGCTGCCCTCTTGGTAGCAATTTGTCACTAATCTTGATTTATCACAGCTAATTTTTGCATGTGGCACAATGTCATGCCATAGCATGACTAGTGATATATTTTCAGACACCTCTAAAAGCAAAATTCCATGTGTCCCTAATGTGGCTTTTGGCAAATCTCCTGGCTGCACTAAATGAAATATTGCTTGTTGTGCAGTTGCTACCTGAATGTTCATGTTTACTAATGACTTGCGCTTTTTTGCCCCTTCCCCATCCCGTTTCCCTCTCCTACTTCTTTTCCTCTCTTCTATTTTCTTCTCCTAGAAGCCGTGACTGTCTCCTAACACTGGGGCTGCCACTGATACAAGATACCAGTGTACTTTTCTACCTGCCATTACACTTCTAAAATCTTCAGCATTTTACAGAGCTCTTGCTTTACATCTTTGGACTTTACGTGTAGAAGAAACCAAAGGGTAGCTGTGCTGTCGGCCGATCAGCCCTCCTCCTCCTCCCTCTCTGCTCTGCAGTGCTTGTTGAAACCTTCCTTTCTTTGTGTAAGCACAAACGTGCATGATGGTTTTTAACTGCACTATTTCAGCACTCCCACTGTTTTTTAAATCACAACTACAGCTCCATTTTTAGTTCAACCACTTTTATATTTAATTTATATCCTTTTTCATGGACGCTTAATAACAGAAGGTTTGATATTAAATTTAAAGTTGTGCTTTCATAGCGGATGGGTCCACCATGACTGCAGCTCCTTTCCCTTCTCCCTGTGCTCACCACAGCCTTTTAGAATAACGCTGAGTTTTACCTGCCTTTATCCTTGCTGCTTTGGAACCTTCTCATATGAGGTTTATCTTCAATAATGTTGTCTTCTTCAGAACAGGTGTTTTCACATCATAGCACTTATTATACAGACTTGAGAAACAAATTAGGAAAAACCATGTTTACTGAGGTACAAGCAGATTGCCTCTGGTTTGTGAGGGGTGGATTATGGGGTTCAAGCACTTGCCGGCAACTGGGAGTATAAAGGAAACGACCAACCCCAAATTCCTGCCTCAGTAAGCTGTTTTGCTGTCTTACTGCTTCCTGCAAGCCTTGGAAGTAAGAAAGAAAATTGCCTTTCTTTAACTTCATACCTCTGGCTTCGTTTTGGTAATGACAGCCTTGGATGAAATTTTACCTGCCATGAAAAATAACCTTTCCCTTCTAAAACTGGGAGAAACAAAAGATCTAGGACTAAATTGTTAAATGTATATGAAATAATTATATACAGTTTCCAGTGACACCAAAAGGAATGGGCCTGTTTTAACCTTAAACAGAGCTACAAGAGGTCAGCAAGTCTGTTGCAGTTCCTGCTGTCTCTGTAAAGGTGCAAAGCTTTCCAAACACAAAAGCATTACTTACTACCATTCAACAGATAAAACAAAATGCAAAAGAAGGAAATAATTTAGAGACTTAGTATTTCACATGAGACAAGCTCAGCCCAGGTTTTTGTAGATGAGTGCATGTCTTG